CCCCCCCCTCCCCTCCCGCATCCTGGATCCACTTATGCGGCATTTCGCCTCCTCAACGTCTGAAGCACTGTGGTAGCTGTCGCCTGTTCGATGTATGTGCGTTACTTCCCCAGGTTCTCGAAAAAGGCACCTTTATGCCGCGGAGTTTGAAAGAAAATTGGTTTTGCTGAACAGAACAGAGCTGCACCAGAACGGAGTACTGACAAGTGTGCTAAGTCCTCATGCAGCGGTAAAACAAACTTGAAACACACCAAGACCCAGATATTCGTGTCACGCATTGCATGTACCAATGAACAAGTCGCAGAGCAGTCCCTACGTTTCATCCCTTAGCTGTAAACACAGACAGAGCAGCGCGCGCGCACAGGAGTGGGAATCATCGGTACAGCCTCATGTTAGATCAAACCGATTGATAATTCACTCCCTTTAAGAGGGTGAAGGCAATCGGAAATAACCCGAGTGATAGCAAATGCCGACAGCAATCATCAGCTAGCAAGGCTGTCAATAGCCCCTCCTTTCGCGGATTGCTTAAAAGCAAACTGGTGGTGGGTTTAACTCGCTGGCGACCCCCCTCCCCCTTCCTGAATCTGAGAGTGTCCTTGACCCAATTTCGGAATATTCTAGTTCAGTAGAATTTAAGCGCTTCAGATCCAGCGGCAGAATGAAGCATGCTCGGACAGGGGATAGTATATATCATCAGTAATTTCGACCTCAGGTCAATGGTCAGGGAGAGAAGATATGGCAAGCAGTCCAGAGGATGTTTACTTCGTGTTTACCACTGCATATCAGTGGATGGCGACGCAGTCGACCTGAGGTCAAGGGTCACAGTGCAGAAAAGACCGGATATTGATTTCGGATCTAAATTTGCCTAGAAAAAATTTGGAGTTTGGAAATTTGGTTCAGGCAGGAAACGGTGACGAGTTTAAGAGTTAAATTTGGACTTCAGATCAGGAAGGATGCTGGAATTATTACACTTGAATAATGGGATTGTTAAACTCAGTTTTGAGTTCCTAGGTAAGAAGGATTAGATAGGCATTAGTCGTAGTTAAACGAGGAACACGAGGACTGATGAAGGTGTGAGGGACTGATTAATCAACAGTAAGGGACTGATTAATCAACAAATGGACTTAGAGGGAATAGATAAAGATGAGGTGAGAAAATCAAGCAGTAGAAAAACCAAAGGTAAAGTTTTAGAAAGAAATGAAGTATCTGTAAAAAGAGACCGAATTTTTGAGTTAAAAAAAACTCTGGAAATTTTAAACTTTTACAAAAACTTCACGATGGCCTGGAAATTTCTAATATAAGCCACGATTTGGATCCGAGGTCAGTCTTTAAAAACCACCTAGAAGTCGACCTCAAATCTAAAACTTCACAGTATCAAAGATTATGAAATCCCCGAAACTTCAGTCCCCACTGCCAATAATATAGTTTTAATTAATGCAAATAACACAAAGACACAGCGGTACACATTTTTGCAAAACTAATCCGGATACACCAACGAAAGCTACCTATGCTATCTGCTGGCATTCCCAAAAAAGCAGGAGTTAAACTAAACACCGCTGACGAGACCATTC